ACTCGAGCAGATCCACGCTTTTCTCGAAGATGATCCTCCAACAAACCGCAGGAAAGGGTGTTGATATCATCTTCAACTCACTCTCGGGCGAAAGCCTCATCAAGTCATGGGAATGTATTGCCCCGTATGGTAGATTCATTGAAATTGGCAAGAAGGACATTCTCTCGAACAGCAAGCTTCCGATGATTCAATTTGCAAAGAATACGACGTTCATCAGTCTCGATCTAGGGTCTTGGGCAAGGGACCGCCCCGCTGATTGTGTCTCTGCACTGGCAGACATCTTGGCCTTGCTTGTGGAGGGAAAGTTTCAACCCCCAAGTCCAATCGCCACATACGGTGTTGGTGAGATGGAGAAAGCGTTTCGACTAATGCAAGGCGGAAAGCACCACGGTAAGTTGGTTATTGAGATGCGTCGAGATGATCCGGTCATGGTATGTCAAGTTATCCACTTAGCTCCATCGTTCCGCCAATCTTATCCCTGTTAACCTGTAAAACAGACCATACTAAAGCCCAAACCCAACTCCTTCTTTGACCCCAATGCCACGTACGTCGTTTCCGGCGGATTAGGTGGCCTTGGTCAGAATGCCGTTAACTGGCTTGTTTCTCGTGGCGCGCGAAATCTTCTCCTACTGTCGCGATCTGGTGGAGACAGCCCTGACGGACGTAAGCTACTTGATCAATTACACAGCCAGGGCGTGAAAGCCCTGGCTCCGGCATGCAATGTGAGCGATGCACAGTCGCTCCGCAAAGCGCTCGACGCCTGCCAATTACACATGCCCCCAATCAAAGGCTGTATTCAGGGTGCGATGGTGCTGCATGTAAGTGTAGCCTTTTCTTCAAGAAAGTTCTTCCATATACTAACCCTACCATAGGACGTCTCATTCTCGGACATGTCATACACCGCCTGGCAAACCGCAGTCAATCCCAAGGTGCAAGGGTCATGGAATCTCCACGAGCTCCTCCCCAAGGGAATGGACTTCTTCATCCTGCTGTCATCAATTAACGGTCTGGTCGGCTCCAGAGGACAGGCCAACTATGCCTCCGGTAACACCTTCCAGGACGCACTTGCTCACTACCGGGTCTGTATCGGCGAGCGCGCCACGTCTCTCGATCTAGGCCTCTTCACCTTTGCCGGTGCGGTCGCCAAGGATCCCAAACTGAGGGAGATGATGCGCAACAACACGGTCTTAGAGCCGGTCACCGAGGCGCAGTTCCACGCGTTGCTCGACTCCTATTGCAACCCTGTCGTAGCCCGGGATCTCGGGCTGAGCTGCCAGACAACCATCGGTATACACCCAGTGGCGATGGAGCGGGGTGCCGGAAGGGCGTACTGGCTCGAGAAACCACTTTTCGGAATCTTACAGCTTGACCAAGCATCGCAAATTGATCAGCATGGCCAGACGCGCGGAGTTAATATCGCTGCTGCGTTGCAGAGTGCTACATCGTTGGCGGAGGCAACCACATTGACTGTAGAAGCCCTCATACTGAAGCTTTGTAAGGTCCTCTCGCTTTCCGAAAGTGATATTGATGAGAACAAGGCTTTGCATGAATATGGCGTTGATTCGCTTGTGGCAGTCGAACTTCGAAGCTGGTTCTCGAAAGAGATGCAGGCCGATGTTGCTGTGTTCGATATCATGGGACGCGCCACGGTTACTTCTCTCGCGCAGTTGGCAGCTGGTCGGAGCAAGCTGGAAAAGGGATGGTCTGCGTGAGATGAAGGGCTTATTTGGTTTACCCAATTTACTAGTATCTAGAGATTAATAAGGTAGTTAGGGAATCTCGGTCTAGTCCATGTAGTCATCTCTTCCTTGTCTCGTCTCTACTCTGAAGCGTCGCCGTGCAAACCAAATCCACATTTTAATCATTATGCGTTCGGCAGTCACGCGATGCAATAAGTTTTAAATCATTAGATTTGATAAATCGTATGATTAGTTTTCTACAAAGATTATAACCAGGTATTTTAACCAACTTCAACTGGACAGCCTCAAAGGGGAGTGGGTTGGTATCTTCACATCTAAGCATAAACCACAGAACCCTAATACCCCAATGAAAATCTTAAAAAAAAAAAAAAAAATTCATAATATCCAACAACATATAATGCATACACGACATTCTTTCACTTGTCTCTACTCCATACAATGTATATACATACATACTGTACGGAGTACAATGAATGATACATGCACAGTGATGTCATCACTAAAGATCGACATAAAAGAACAGTGAGGCTTCGGGCTCCATCCAGTTCTCGCCCCTCCCTCGGATTCTTAGTCACCATGGAGAAAACAGGAAGAGATAAATGGAGAAACCTGACGTGGCGGCTACTTGTACCAATCAAATGAACTGATAATGTACTGTCGATGGAGGTGCAGAGGAGAAGTGAAGCAAAAGCATACTCCTACTTACTGCGTCTTATCTGGTGGTCCAGTATGGTCGACTTGGGAGGGATTCGCTGGCTGTTGTTGTGTTTTTTCTAGGCAACTAGGATACTAAAATAAATTAAAAACAAAAAAAAAAAAAAAATAGAAGGATACAGTACTAGTTATCTTGGTACATGGTATTAATAGGATGTTGGGAGTCAGTCAATTTCGGCCTGATGGGAGATTTGTTTTAGGGCATGAAGTACTGAGCTTGACAACACCCGATATGAGGGGCAGTTTTAGTGTTTTGTTGTTTCCCACCTGTTCAACATATTATGATTGTTTGAATTTTTTTTATTTTTTATTTTGAAATTCTTATCTTTGGATATATATATATATATATATATGCTATATATAGTATGTAAACAAACAGGGAAACATAATGAGAAATCCGCCCAAGAACACCAATGAAAAGTAATAGTAATAGTAGTAATAAATCATAAGCCACCGAAGTTCGATCACATACCAGGAAACCAACTACATCATCACACATCCACTCCGACGGTTTTTTTCTCGCGCCATTTGCGTTTCCAACTCCAATAAGCGTGATTCATATTCGTCTCTGGCTCTGAGGACGCGGAGATCGGCGTCTCGCTGGTGCAGGGCTTCTTTGTGGGCCATCTCCTTTTCGTACATTTCCTCTCGCTCAGCGTCGCGTTGTCTCCGTAGCTCGTCAATGGCTTCTCTGTGCGCCATATCCTGTTGGTGCATGGCGTCTCGCTCCCTTTGTAGCTCGTCGATGTCCATGCGTAAGATGCTTTGCTGCTGCTTACTGCTCTTCAACTCCTCTTCGAGCTCAGCCCGCACGGCCTCAATCTCCTTCTTATGATTGAGATCCTGTCTCCGTTCAGCCTCCTTCATCTCCTTCCGTAGCTCATTCAACTGCCTCTCATATCTGGCTCTCAGCCTCTCAACCTCTGCCTGAACCTCCTTCCCAGCAGCAGTCTCCCCCAACGACTTCCCACTCGCCATCTCCTCCTGGATCCTCAACGTCACATTCTGCGGCCGGCTCAAAATATACCGAATAATCTCCGTCGCAGACGTGATCCCATCATCCTGGCGGAACACCTGACTCCCATGCCCGATCATCTCACCCCAGAACTTCCGCTCCGATTTCAACTGGCTCTCCCGCTTGACCTCCTTCTCTGTGGGTGGGTTGGACCACATCGTCGTGGCGAGAACCACCCCGTTGAGACATTTCTCCCCGCATAGTTTCTTGAACATCATCAGGTTGCGGATGGATGCACCACCCATCCGCACGTCTTTGATTCGGTGCAGGTAGATTATTCCGGCCAGTTTGATGTTTTCGTTGTAGGAGAAGCGGAGCCAGTCGGCGATTTCGACAAGCACGTCGGTGTCACTGCGTGTCGTGTCGTCGAAACCAGGGGTGTCGATTAGGAAGATTCGTTGGTTGTCTATTTGGGCTTTGTGGATGCCTACTTCTGTTGTGCCTGCGGTTTTGCAAGTTTGGTAAGTGAGACTTTTTTTTTTTTTTTTTTTTTCCAAAAGCAAATAAAGATGGAGAATTGGAGGAATGGAAAAGTGGATAAAACTCACAGGACATCAAGCTATCGCCTACAAGAGCGTCTTGGTTGAAATGTGAGATGAAGGTGCTTTTCCCGACACCTGTTATCCCCATGACTGCAATAACACGGTCGTCTGGTCTGTATATCTCGAAGAAAGCAAGAAAAGAAAAGTAAGTAAAAACGGTAAGTGGATCATGAGTGGGGGGAGGAGGAGGAATCTGCAAAGAATATACGTACGTGATATCCGGCAGTTGTCCATCATGATGAGGTTCCTTTTTAAACATGGGCGTGAACGGCTCGTCCAGGGAGACTTGGGACTCATAGCCTGACTCTGACTCCGAGTGCATCTTGAAGATAAGAATATTCCCAGCACAATAATCGGGAAAAGAAGACAATATTTTGAGGAGTCCGTTATAATGTCCGAAATCAGGGTATGTGGGACAGTAGGACTTTAACGAAGGAAAGAGTGAGAGTGAGAGTGATTGAGGTTAAATCCTTAATTCTCCGGCTTCATCGTAGGCTGTAGCAGAGTGAGAAAGTCCCATTTAAGCCAAGTGGAAACGGGGCTTTCTTTGCCTCTCTGAGGCGTCTGTATCATGGACACGCATTCCACACCTTGACGTGTCATTCCTGTCTGGTAACATCTTTTCTTTCTTTGCTGCCTTATAGCAATTGATTAGCTACAATACTTGCGTAATGAAGAGGAGTGAGAGGAAAAAAATGAACAACAAACCCACAAATATCCACTTTTGCTTCACCTGTGTAGCTGTGGGCTTTGTGGTGACACGCAGCGAACAGGGGTTAAGGCGTTTAGGAAAATGTTTTACTGGGCATTGCCAACTCAGTCTTGGGTCTGAAAGAGCGAGGCCAGAACCCTAGACAAGTCAGAGCTGGCAGATGAATGAATGCCTGGCGAAGTGTTGTTGGGCCTTGATTCTTTGCCTTGGGATGATGCCTCACTGGTTATTCTTTTTTTTTTTTTTTTTTTTCCTTGTCTTGTTTTCCTGTTTTCTTTCTTCCTTTATACCCTTATCTTCTTCTCCTCATAACATTTCTTAACTTCAACCCTAACTCTCTCTCCCTTCAGTAAAACAACCAAAACCTTCCAATTGAACATACACCATGACAACAAAAGGCTACTTCGCAGGTATTCGCCGAAGCTCCACAGAACCGATCTCGAAACCGCCCCGTCGAATATCCGTCGCCTCGGCTGCAATACCAGAAGCCTCTTCCCAACGGCGCAACAGCCACAACGTCCATTTCCGCGAGAAGGACACCACAACCCAACAGTAAGAGCCCTTCACTTTTCTTATTCAATCCCCAAGATATGCTAACAACAATACCCAGAGATGATACAGTGGTGATAGCAGTAATGGGCGTCACGGGGTCCGGGAAGAGTTCCTTGATATCGCTTCTTGCGGATCAGCCTGTGGGTATTGGCCATAATTTACAGTCCCGTGAGTTCTTCTATATTTGTTTCATCAAGAAGATGATCATGGTAAGATATGATACAAGGCATGGTACTAAATAAGAGTAATTATAGATACAACACACACAGACATGTTCAGCTTCTCGCACCCCGAAACCAACAACACCGTTATCCTCCTCGACACCCCCGGATTCGATGACACGGATCGCTCCGATACCGAAATCCTCAAAGAAATCTCCTGCTTCCTAGCCATGATCCACGAGAAGCGATGGCGTCTCGTCGGCATTGTCTATCTGCACCGGATCACGGATCCGCGACTCGGCGGCTCGGCGATGAAGAACCTGCACATGTTCGAGAAGCTGTGTGGCAGTCGCAGCTTTCCTAGGGTCGTGCTGGTGACTAATATGTGGGGGGACTTGGAGCCGACGGAAGCGGGGCGGGCGATTGGGGAGCGGAGACAGAATGAGCTGAAGAGTCAGTTTTGGAAGACGATTGTTGAGGAAGGGGGCAATGTTATGCAGCATGATGGGTCGAAGGAGAGTGCGTCGGCGATTGTGTCGTCGTTGGTGAAGAGGAATGAGGAGGTGGTTTTGCATATTGTGCATGAGTTGGTGGAGGAAAAGAAGACTTTGGATGAGACTGATGCTGGGCAGTATGTCCAGGCCGAGCTGTTGAAGATCAAGAAGAAGTATGATCGGGAGATCGCTGATCTTCAGGAGAGTATGGAGGAGGCCATGGAGGCGAGGGATGAGGAAACTGCACGGGCGATCAAAAGGGAGAGAGAGGCGGCCAAGGCTAAAGTGGCGCAGAAGGCTCGTGAGTCTAGGGGCCTCAAGATCTCGATGCAGCAACTCGTGCAGGAGAAGATGGCCGAATATGATGCTCGTGCTACTGAGCCGGATAACCAGGAGGCTGTCCGGGGCCGTATCGCGGAGCTGTTTGAAGAGTTCAAGTCCGAGATACGGGAGGAGATGCGCGAAGAGTTGGAGTCGGAGATGCGGGACGTCAAGGAAAGACTTGCTAAGATCGAAACCGGTCCGACCGAGAAAGCTGAACAGCGAGTTGAACAGCGAGAGGAAGAACAGCCAAAGGAAGATATCAAGTCTGGCGGACTGATGGGATGGTTCTCTAGGCCTCTAACTGGGTTTAGCCGAGCTTGAACGAGTGTCATGCTGGGGAATGCATCACTATCTGTGCTGGAGGTTGGGATACTATGTTTGATGTCTATTAAGGTACTATAATAATCTTGGAGTTATGTATTTACACAGCTATATGAATAAAACGAACAATAATGCACATTAACACATGCAATTATAACGATATGCACAGGCTTCCATCTTCCAATAACAGTTTTCCTTCACTGCCCGATCCCCACAATCTGTAGATCAGCATTAGTCTTGCATCAACTCCAATACGCACCCACAAAAGCACGAGTAAGGGCATGGCAGTCACGGGCCAATCACGTGTGGCATATTGGAATGCAGATTGAAGCAGAATCATATGAAAGACTTACTAGGCAACCCTCGACATATCTCGAGATGATGTGGGGCTCGCAAGCCCTTCTCGAAGCGGAAACGATAATCCGCTAGCGCATGCGGGGGGAGGAGACTTGACTGGTGGGGAAATCCTGGGGATTCCTGGGCTAATTTATGAATATCAGCATGTGCAACGGTATAGCTGCTCAGCCTGAAGGGTCCTCGATTACTATAAGAAGAACAGGGGACCCTGTCCTAACGCACATGGCTCCCAGAATGGTTGCTTCAAAAGCAGATTCGACACCATGATTGAGGAATTACTCCACCAGATGACGCCTGGGAAGGCATCTCTTCTCTTCCTAGGCGTCTTCTTTGTACTCTGTATAGTACGAAAAGTACAGGTATCCATGCATATCAAACGGCTGGGGAGTCATGCCCCTCTAGTAAGGTTTCGCCTTCCATACGGTACGTAACTTCCAAGATCTCCCTAAGCGCAACGTCACTAATAGGACGGACCATATAGCCATCGACTTTATCTACAAATCTCTTGCTGCCAACAGAGCCCACCAGGACCTGGAGTTTTTCAGCAACGCAGTCAAGGAAGCTAAGGGGGCATCTCAGATAGACAATCCCAGAACCGCCGAAGTCAGCGCCGGCATCTCGTCTCGATTTATCTTCACCCGAGACCCCGAAAACATCAAGGCCATCCTCGCAGGACAATTCGCGGATTATGGAAAGGGTGAGCCCTTCCACAACGACTGGAAAGAGTTCCTGGGCGACAGCATCTTTGTCACGGATGGTGAGCTGTGGTCTCGCTCGAGACATCTGATTCGACCGATGTTTGTGCGCGAGCGCATTGTGGACACCGAGGTTTTTGAAAAGCATGTTCAGCACCTCATTCCCTTCCTGTCGGGGAGCAATTCCCCCACCGGTAACAAAATCGTCGATGTTGGTCCCTTGTTCTTCCGCTACACGCTGGATGCAGCTACCGATTATCTTCTGGGTCAAGGCACGGACAGTCTCCAGAACCCGACCACTGAGTTCAGCGAAGCATTCGGCTATGTACAGCATCGCCAGGCCGATCTAACACGACTATCGTACGTGCAATCTTCCTGTTATCAGTTGAGGTGTACTCCACGAGAACCACAGACGATCAGCTAACCATATAGCGCAAAACAGGATCTTCAAGTTCCTACTCTCGCTAAAGGAATTCCGCCGCAACCTCAAAATCATGGACAACTTCATCCAACCCTACATCAACCGAGTCCTCTCCCTCTCCACCGCCGAACTAGACCAAAAACTATCCAAACAAGACACATTCCTCGACTCTCTCGCCCGATTCACCCGAGACCCCAGAGTCCTCCGAGACCAACTAGTAGCAATCCTCCTCGCAGGCCGAGACACAACCGCCGGAACGCTCTCTTTCTGTCTCTTCGAACTCGCCCGGAACCCCCAAGTCGTGGCCAAACTACGACAGGAGATCGAGTTGCGACTGGGCGTCGGAGCCAAGGGCCAAAAGCCCAGCTACATCGATCTAAAGGAGATGAAGTACCTCAACGCCGTTCTGAATGAGACGATGCGTCTTTACCCGGTTGTTCCGTTCAATGTCCGTCTCGCGCTCCGTGATACTACCTTGCCCCGTGGTGGGGGTCCAGATGGCCTTTCGCCGATTGGGGTCCGTGCTGATACTCGCGTGGTGTATTCGACTATGCTTATGCAGCGCAATCCGGAGAATTATGATGCTCCTGGCTCGCCTAACTATATCGATCCCGAGAAGTTTCATCCCGAGCGCTGGTTGTCTGGTTGGCAGCCTAAGCCGTGGCGGTTTATCCCCTTCAATGGGGGACCGAGGATTTGTCTTGGTCAGCAATTTGCTACTATCGAGATGGGGTATACGGTCGTGAGAATCCTTCAGGCCTTCCGCGAGATTAAGGCCTTCCCCGTCAGTGGAAAGAGTGTCGTGGAGGATCCTGTTCTTCGGTTTGAAGTCACGTTGAGTCCTGGATCGGAGTTGAATTGTCTATTTGTGCCAGATGAAGAAGCGGGCCCGACTAATTGAGCTTATTTTGGTATTACATACTGGTAGAACGACTGATGTAAGATGGAGGAGCTTTCTCAACATCCCGGTACAGTGTAATGGGTGTCAACGGGGTATTATATGGATATATAAATTGCTAAAGAGCGTGACGTATATGTATAGCTTCTGTTTCATAACTTCATTACATGCAATGTGAATTGACATCGTGAAGTACCAAGAGTCTGCCTCCCAAACCATGAAGTGTAAATTTTGGTACAGTAGGAATGTGCTTGTGTCAATGAACAAGCTGAGCCCAGTTATGGCTCTCAGGTTGATAAAAGGGTTACCTTGAGTTTCGTGAGTTTCTTCAGTCTCTGCAGAATCTCGACTCTCCGGAGTTCCAGATACAAATAGTCCTCATCGGCATCGTCCAGATCACTGGAGATACTGATCAACGGTCTCTTTGCCGGAAGAATGCTGCCGTTGACCTTCGCTGGGACCATCTGAGTACTAGTATTCTCACTGTTCTGAACAGCAACGGGAGCATCTTTCTTGGTCTCCGGAACAGCAGGTGGCACCTTGTTGCCAACCCAACCCCTGCTCATGTTTACGGCCTTTTCCCAGAGGGCAAATGACTCGGCACTTTGCTGTCGGCTAATCCTAGGCTCAAAGACCGCTCCACCAGTACGGTTGATATCGCGCAATTCGGCAAAGTTTCGCCAAAGCCCAACTGCCAGACCGGCGGCAATGGCCGCTCCTAGTGCGGTTGTCTCTCGCATCTTAGGGCGGTAGACCGGAATGGAGATCAGGTCTGCTTGAGTCTGATTGTGAAAGTTTAAGTTACCAAGGGAAGCAATAATCCAAGGAAGGTATCGACTTTGGGACGGGAACTTTGGATGCTAGTGATACTAAACGTACCTGCATTGCAAGATCAGAGTTGCTCATTCCTCCGTCAACTGCCAGCTCAGACAGCGTGTGGCCGCTGTCCTTTTCCATCGCGTCCAAAATTGCCTTCGTTTGGAAGCAGGTCGCTTCAAGCGTGGCCCTGGCGATGTGGCCTTTTTTTGTGTACTGTGTAATTCCGACTAAATCCTGTCAGAAGATGGTTTGGAATGTATTAGGCGATTGTTTCTTACAAATGGTTCCTTTGGCGTCGTCAATCCAGTAAGGTGCAAAGAGACCGCTGAACGCAGTGACAAAAACACATCCTCCGTTATCTTCCACCGTGAGGGCCAAATCATTGACTTCTTTGGATTCCTTGAAGAACTCCAAATTGTTCTGCAGGAACTTGACTCCCGAGCCACCAACAGCGATGCTCCCCTCGAGAGCGTACACTGGCTTTCCATCAAAATGATAGGCTACTGTGGCCAATAGGCCGTGCCTGGAAATAACCGGCTTTTCGCCAACATTGTAAAGCAGGAAGCACCCTGTACCATATGTGTTCTTTGCCATTCCTGGTGAGAAACCTTTCTGACCTACCAGTGCCGAGGATTGATCACCGAGACAGCCCATGATAGGGACCCCAGCGAGGATTCCATCCGAGATAGCTCCATAGGCTTTCGTATCGGAGGATGGAACAATCTTCGGCAGATGGACTCTTCCTCGAATATCAAAGAAGTCTAAAAGCGAATTGTCGTACTCAAGAGTTTCCAAGTTCATGAACATAGTGCGTGATGCATTGGTAGGGTCTGAAACAAACACATTTGCTTGGTGGCCACCGTTCAGACAATACACAAGCCATGTATCGACTGTACCAAATGCCAGTGTACCTCGCTCATAAGCGTCCTTCACCCTGGGGACGTTCGCAAGCATCCATAGCAGCTTAGAAGAGGATGAGTAGGTGGATAACGGAAGGCCACAGACCTGCTGTAATCTTGAAGCCCCTGGTTTCTCCTTTAAGTCTTTGACAATCGCTTGCGATCGAGTGTCCGTCCATACGATGGCATTGCACAGTGGCTCGCCAGTTTCATAATCCCAAACGACGGTGGTTTCTCTCTGGTTGGTAAGCCCAACGGCCTTGATATCTTTGCGCGAATACCCAGTGGATTCAAACAGTTTGACTGCTTGCTCAACGCATGTTTCGACGGAAGATACAAGGTCAAGTGGGTTATGCTCATGCCATCTAAGTCACTCATTAATCACAAAGCAGTTGAATTCATGAAAGTCCAAAATCTAAGAAAAAAGAAAGAAAGAGAAGAACAAAGACGGTGACAATAGAGGAAGAGCTCACCCTGATTTTGGATAGATCTGTGGGAATTCGACCTGATGCGAGGCCACCGGTTCCCCTTCGCGATTGAAGATCAGAAACCGGGTACTGGTCGTACCCTGGTCAATCGAGCCTACAAAGGTCTCTGATGGCTGCATAGCTAGGGCGTCTCGCGACCAGCGGGGTGCCTGAGCTGTGTGACAACCTCGCGCAGCTTTTCCAATGGACTGGTAACAAAAGCAACTAGGATAAGTGGGAAAGCGAGCAAAGACACGAACCCTCTGAAGCAGGAACAGAAACCGCGACCGCGGAGGGTAAGCTGTCATATTACTTATATGATTCCAGCGAACCAATGACCGGGATTAATCCTTCGGTTTCAATTTCTCCGTTACATAGTGAATCAACTGCGGGGAACGCGACTTCGATCCAAGGCAACAACTACCAGTAGTGAGAGCGTGACACGATAGTTGGATGGAAAGTGACAAGACAAGAAAAAGCGACGGGTGGCTGAGCCGAACCGGCACTCAGGTGAATAGGAACAATGTTGCTCATTCGCTGAGGGCAGTAATGAGAGAATGAGAGGATGATACTGAGAGAACCGCATTTACAATTTGACCAGTAAACATGGGTCAGGGTCGAAGGGATTCCATACCTTTTCCAGCGAGTCGCATATGCTGAAAGGATTTAGTCGTCTTGGTAGGGAGAAGGCAAAATTGATGGGTGGGCACCTGACTGGGCTTTACCTTTTCTGGTCCAAATCGCAAGGGAATTAATTCCGATCCGATGAACTCGTATTTAAATTCCACTGGTCCCAGGGGGTGGTAATATGACTTCCTTGCATTCATGCGCCTGCATCTTGAATGTTGCGATGCTGTCAAACTGTTCGATTAGATCCAAAGGATCATCACTTGCGATCGTCGCGCTTGTGGAGTCCAAGTGATCCACCCCCACAAATTGCGGGGTTCGCTCATACGGACTACTACATCCGATCGTCGATGTACTCAACCCTATCTTTATCCAGATCCTGGAAATTTTCCAGAATGTTGTGGAGACCAATGCAGATGTCACATTTAACCTGGTCATGGTCCTCACAGAGCCGCACGCTTGACCAAACAATAATATAGACACTCATTCATCCCTCAACACACGGCAACCAAGTTCCCTGAGCAACTATTACGCCATCTAGTATTAAAAACAACCAGAATGCGTGTGTTGCACCAAGATAATAAATATCAAAAATAATTGATACTAGTCCTACCCTATTTCCGTACCACCGGTGCTGAGCTAGAACTAGAGCTACAGCGCCAAATCCTTGCTGTCTGACGGACCCCCAAGCAGAATGACAAAGTGGGACAAGTATCGATAGGCTTTTTCGCTGCATTATCATTCGACAAACAATCTGGGAGCATGATATGAGACCACGCCTAGACTCTTTGTAATTGGCGGAATTCGTTACACTTTCCAATTGTGTACCTCTGAATTGTGCTATTAGCCAAGTTCAAAATGTTGAACAGGTACTCCGTACTGTGTACAGGTTGTGCCCGGAGTAGGGACGAGGAAATGTTATCCTCTTCCAGATGCCAGGCTTCTTAAAGCCCATTTCCCTTCACTCTTCCTGTCCAAATTTAGCCATTAAGCATGCATTGGCCCTCTGGGGCTTTTCTTCAACCGGTTGCGTTCTTCATTCCAAGCTGGCTGGATCAGTCTATCCAAGTTTTCTGGATACAGGTGAAAAGATAGCCGAGGCAATCCGGTGCATATTCACTCACGTCTCTGAGAGTATACAGCAGGGATCAAGCGTATTGAACGCTTGAGGGCATCGGAGTTATTCACATTCCCCTTATTAAGGCACTGTCATCGCCCCCTAGCACTGAAGAGGTGCAAGAATTTGACATCACGTTTGTAGAGGAATATTCTTAATTCATTATCGTTAGCATGAAGCAGATCATTGAGCATACTACTGACCACCAGGATGGCACGCATGTTGCCGTTCTCTCAACCGATAAGCCTGTATCTCCTACGCTAGGTATCGCCCTCAGCTCAGATGAGAGGGAGCCCGCTCACCCCCAGCTTCTATGGGGCAAGGTGAGAGAACACATCCGCGACGGCGCTTCCGAGTTCTTCGGCACAATGATACTCGTTCTCTTTGGAGATGGCGTTGTCGCACAGGTTACCCTGAGCCACGGCGAGAAAGGCGACTACCAGTCCATCTCATGGGGCTGGGGGTAAGTCCGATCCCTCAAGCAGCCATCCTTCCCCCAGCACTAACATATCTTGGCCCCCCCCTCCAACCCCCAGCCTCGGAGTCATGCTCGGCGTCTATGCCAGCGGTATATCAGGCTCACACATCAACCCCGCCGTAACCCTCGCTAGCTGCATCCTGCGCAAATTCCCCTGGCGCAAATTCCCCGTCTACCTCGTCGCCCAAGTCCTCGGCGCCATGTGCGGCGCAGCAATTGTCTATGGCAACTACAAATCCGCCATCGACGTCTATGAAGGCGGCCCAGGCATCCGAACTGTCCCGGGCTACTCTCCCACCGCAACGGCCGGAATCTTCTGCACTTACCCAGCCGCCTTCATGACCCGGACGGGCCAATTCTTCTCCGAGTTCATCGCCAGCGCCATCCTCATGTTTATGATCTTCGCCCTGAAAGATGATACCAACCTCGGCGCCGGTCCCCTCACACCCCTCGCCCTGTTCTTCGTTGTCTTCGGCATCGGTGCCTGCTTCGGTTGGGAGACCGGATACGCCATAAACCTGGCCCGGGACTTCGGGCCCCGTTTACTAACCTATATGCTCGGGTATGGTCCACATGTCTGGACTGCTGGTAATTATTACTTCTGGGTACGTTCTCCTCGCCCTTCTCCCGCCTCGCACATGGCCCTAAATGAATCAACTCACTGAGGATGTTGGCCAGGTCCCCATCATCGCCCCTTTCCTTGGGTGTACCTTCGGCGGCTGGATCTACGACATGTTCCTCTATACCGGAACCGAAAGCCCGATCAATACACTCTACATCGGTCTCCGGAGACTCATCACACCCCTACGTCCAAAGCACCACAACTCGGCAAGTCATGTATGACCGACTGAGGCCTGGAACAACATACAAGTATGAATTGAAAAACTATGTAAGCCGACTATGACAGCTTTGATTCTACCCAGATATTGCCCCTAACTAAGTTCCATCACAAGATGGACTTCTGATCCTAGAAGTCAGTACCAGGGTTCTTCACGAATATCCATAGCAACTTATAATGAGATCTGTGATATTCATTCATGGCTTAAGGTTGTTTGGGAGTGGTGAAATTTCATTGAAACTGACACTATTCTGTACTCTGTATTCTGTATTCTGTATTCTTTGAGACATGAGTAAGCAATTATGTCCTCGAATGGCAACGGTCTTATGACCGGCAGACCCTACGCTACGGATACCACCGTTTCATTCTTGGCTCTCATTGTTTACAAGTTAACTTAAGGTTGGACTAAATTAGTGAATAGTGTGCGCGCCACATCGGCTGACCATGGTCGATACCGGTAGATCGGGTAGCGTCGACCTCTAGTATTTTACCCTAATATCGACTCAAGGCTAGGAGAGCTGCTATAGTTGATGGACTGTGCTTGCATTGGCCTTTCTATGCTAATAAAAACCAATCCAGTCCGTATAATACACATTTAATGGTCATTAATCATGGTAACAAAGACACTTGCAAAAAGTCAAGGTCCTATGTATGTACAGGTCGAGAACCTTAGTCGTGAGAGTCGTAATCTTATATCCCATTCCCGTCATAAATGGCACCTTCCAAGGCGCCTCGTCTAATTCATACTGCTCGTTCACAGCATGACCAGCGCACTGACGACCACCACGTAAAGAGCGACCATGGACAATGGGGCGTCAAACATAGTGGTCGCAGCCCCTACATTAGGCGCAATATGGGCTGTAGTCGTGGAGGAAGGGGTATTCCCAGGACCGTTAGAGCCGCTCGCATCAGTCGTGGAGAAGGTGGGGCCTGTGGAAGTCGATAGTGGCATGGTCAATGTTGAAGAGCTAAATGATCGTGTCGGAGAGATAGTTCGCTGCGTGGAAGTGACAGCTGTATCTGTTGAGGCAATGGTTGTACGCGACGAAGAGAAAGTAAGGTAAGTCGATGTGCTGGCTGGTTGGGCTGGGGAGCTAACTAATTGCGTTTGCGTTGGCGAATTGGTGAGAAGCCCCGTCGAACTGAGAGTCCATGCAGTGCTTCTAGTGCCAGAGAGGGAAACTGAACCCGGCGACAAACGCGATGATACAAATGTAGATAGGTGACAGGACTGTTTTGAACACACATAGCTTTAGTAACTAATTCAATGTGCGAAAGGGATTGGGCAATGCTCACTCACTGAAGCCGCGCTGGGCGGCTGGACTTGTCGAGAGCCAGAAAATGTCCAGCCACTTGGCAGAGGACCCTGGCCCCTCGACTCTCCTGGAGTAGCCGTAGTGGCTCGAGGGACCCAAGGCCAGATACTCGGGGTCACAAAACTCGAAGTTTGGCGGTGCGTTCCACTCCATGGGATAGGGATACTAGCGACGGTGGAGGTGATAGCCGGGGCAGATTCGACAGAAGAGATGGACTCAGCGGCAATATTACCATTGATCTTTCCACCGGTTGACTTGATTGACTGCCATGACCCACTCTGATCACCATACGAGTACTCTGTGCCGGTTGAATAGTCGGTCACCTTGAGTGATTTCAAGTACATCGTGTAGGGGCCAGCATTGTAATCAGTCTTGCCACCCGCCCAGTCTTCAGATCAGTTAGCTTAGTAGAACATATTGTATGACATCCGGTGAAATATAAACCGTGAACTCACCAATAGTACCCTGCGGGTTGTTTGGATCACCACCAGCCCAAACTCCAACTTTAACCATCATCGGTGTTTGAGGATATTGATTGGTCGCCGCGGTATCCGGAGTCAGTACCCGAACGGTCTTACCATCGATTTGCCAAACGATCTGTTCGCTGGTCCAATCGATAGTGTAGGTATGGAAATTGTCGTGGTTTCCCACGTTATCATGGGTAGCGCCACGGTTGAAGCTATCTGTAATTCCCTTTCCGAAGTAGTTAGACTGGACTAAGACATTATTGCCCCCAAGCCACTCCCAATCAATTTCGTCCAAGTCGTCTGACTGTAGAACAGCACTGCTAACGATACCCGTCCCTGGGGCAGCCTTGATCACGAACTCGACATGTCCGAACATGATGTACCAGCCAGACTGTATTAACGGGGCATCGCCCTGTTTGGCCACTGTGAACTCGACGCCATCGCTACCATACGTGGGACCTCCGACATCTGCAAAGTCATTTGCTTGACCCTGGGTGAAGTCAAAAGTACCCGATGTACCATATGCAGGTTTGGGGGGGCATGCTTGGCTGACGTTAGATTTGGCACCAGGCCGGGCTGAAAGTGGACGTACTTTTGCCTAAAGGGTTGCAGTCGGAAAATGTCTGAGCCAACACAGATGTTGCAGATGACAGCAGGAGAGCCGCCGCGTTGATTATTGGCACCCTCATGATGGATGCCTTGTGCTAGAGATGAAACAAACAATAGGAAATGATGCTGAGAACACGCCCGTTGGGAACGTGAGTAAAGGGAGATCAGGACGAGCGACTTTTACAGGTAAGAAGTCAAGATCTAGGAAGCGGAGATATGAAGGCAGTCAAACAGTAGATTAGAGCACCTCCCAAAGAGTGTGTGAGAGAGAGTGCGTCTGGCCAGAAGTCCAGGCCTGCGGCGTTGTTCGTAGGAAATACTGAGTACCTACAAAGCGCACGTGCAGGAATTCTCTGTTCAGGGAAGGTGCAAAATGGGATATTGTCAAGGCAGCCATGACTGGGGTCGGAACATATAAGTAAATAAATGTCCGTTTAGGTAGAAAGGAAAGTGCGGTGGTCTTCAGAGTACTACGAGTCGTCCAGCCTCCTCGCTTTTCTTCTGCTTGAGCTTTACATCAATCTTTTTGATTATCTTGCCCGATCGGGCAGTTAGCGTTGTCGGTCACGGGTGGAGACGTAACTTCGTGGCTGTCATTGGCTAACATACATGAGCTGTGCCACTGGATCTGTGGCGGGGCGCTGATGATTGGTTGCTGTCCCAACAGCTCCGAACAAGGGACGAGATATTAATTATCAATTCTTCCATGTTGTGATATCGGTACCTGAACCATGAAATAGCTTTCTGTTTGTTTTTACCTGCAGCAGAGATCGAGGTCAGACTATAAGCTCGGCAATATCAGACTGACGTTACCAGTCATACTCCATTCTAGGCTGAAGCGCGACACATACCGGTGCTGCAACCCAATCTGCTGTTTACATTCCAGCCGATGACGGTTGCTGTCATGCCATGTGCTACTGTGCAAACAGAACAGGACCAACGACTGGGGGCAATTGTCTCATCTCTCCCTGGCAATAACTTGTCTATTGCAATTCATTTGCCACATGGAAGGTAAGATAATAGAGTCGCCTGTTTCATTGCCGCCCGTGCTGCTCCACCCCCAGCCTCCCTCTTTTTAACGCTGCATGTATACTGTGCCAATCCCTGGACGCCATGGCTAGACCGCAGGGGTTTCTTTGCTGTGCTATTCTTATATCAAACTTAGATTCTATGGTCTCTTTTCTCAACCTTTTTTTTTTTTTTTTTTGTCTTTCTTTTCCGTGTTTTTTTGTTTCCCGGTCGATACAGTTTCAACTACAACCTCGCTTATGCAGCCTATTCAATATATTTCCATAGTAACGGCGAGTCTCTATAATAGTTGAGAATATCTATAATCTCGACAATCCAGACAATAATCTGTCAATCTCTATTCAACATCCGATACATACTAAATCAAAGTCTAAACCATCCATAACACTCAATCGGGCCAATTCCTATTACACACGCAACCACGCGACGTTCATGTTTCGTAATAGCTAGGTATATTCCGTACAGAGGTTTCAGGCAAGTTACGAAACTGCAACTATCGGTACGCCTTTTCGTTTTATCCCATCCGATATTAATCCCGCTGCGGACTTCATGAAATATTAATGTATCCACATGACACAATTGTAGTAACAATGTGTAGTACCTACAGCCGACGGGTAAAACTGGCGGAGCTATAGGGACAAATTCGCGCCTTATGAAGATTGTTGGGCTACAATCTCTGTATGTAACTTGATGACTGGGTCAGTAAGACGGCTAGTAGGACTCCTCTCTCGGAGCCGTTAGAGGTGCGAGTTGGTGGAATCCTGTTGCTGAGCACGATAACATGTTCCCGTTATCAGAATGTGTGGCCGATAGAAATTCGTTTGAGTATACTAGTTGGACTTCAGGGATATTGTGGATTGACATCTTGGGCACACGACTCTTAGCCTTCACATATTAATATAGAGAATAAATACTCAATATAATATTCACGGTTTATTGTTACGGAATGTAGTTACTGTAGTCGGTATAATTGTAAAGCATCAAGAATGCAACTATAAGTATGTTGCATTCACTGTAGACTGCTTAGACTGTATTACTGTCTGCTGACCATCTGCATAAAAGATACGGAGGACTACTGTTGGAAGCTCTTCGAAAATGTGTTTGAAATCCTATACATAGGAATGGTGTCAAGTGCAATATATATTTGCAGTTGCAACGAACTTACGGGAGCTCGATGCCTCTGACAGCCGGAGGGTTTATTACATGGTAAAATCTACTTAACACACCATTAAAAGCAATTGCTAATAGTTAATCTACAGAATCTACTAAGAAGGAAATAGACCAAGTGAGAACTCGTATCAAACTCTTAGTAGAGGAGAGGTAGAGTGGTCATTCAATCCTGTTTGGGTTCAGGCCGCCAAGGATCTTACCAGTTCGGGAAGTCGCTCTGCTTTTCCAGGTCGATAGTTTAAGGTGCCAAGAGAGGCTACTTGACCTTGGTTGTCGATCGTATGGCACACGTGATCTTTATTTTAGCAGGTACCTTTGATAAGGCCAGTTAAAGTAAGATAGAACTATCCGTACTAAGACATAGAATTCATTCAGTCTGTAGCAGGTGAGGACGTCAAGATGGTATCTATGAAGTTTAATCTGAACGAACACTCGCGCGTATAGAGAGTGCCGCAAGCCCCACAACATATTGGGAGAAAGCAAAGCATGATGTACCGAACCGATGGTTTTGTTACAACAAATAAAGTGCCAGAGTAGTTTGAATGGCCCCTAACGTGAGTGTAGACGAGGTAGGCGGCAAATTCCTCCCATAGGTGGTAGTGGTTGTCAAGATTCTAAAGGTGATACTATAACTAATAAGAAAATGACCTCGGCTGATATGGATATTGTTACTTTGAGAGAAGGGGGACACGTCATGAATAGGTCAGGCGGAAAACTTAGGTGAGAGTTAAGAAGAGGAATTAAAAAAATACCACCGGTGCATTTTTGGTAATTCCGTGTCTGACATATCTGGAAATTGACACACGAGGTTTGGGGGGAGATAGACAGTCCCTTTAATTTCCGATACAGTCGTTAGTCATGTGGTACAAGGTTTTTTTCTTTTTTTTCCTTTTTTTTTTTTTTTTTTTTTCCCGTCTTTAGTCTAGAATATAAAAAAGATAGTACAGTCCAATCGCGCAGTTGTCATTTAGGATTCACCAGGCGTCTTCATCATACAGGCGAATAGGATAAGCAGATAAGAAAATGAAATAGAATAAGAAGAGTGGGGGGAGGGGAAAGAGAGAGAAAGAGCAAAGGCAAGATAGGTTGGTGTCATAGTTCTAAGGTAAGGGGAAATAGAATGGATTAACTCCCCCCTTATCAATAATTTAAACCACTAAATCTAGCCCACCTGATGATCATCCCCAGAACTGCCAATATAAAGCGGTTGGTTACCCATCATAACTGCCTTGTGGATATACGTGGGAGGGATTGCTGTATTGGTCAGTGACAGAAGCCAAAGAGATGCGAACTAACAAATTGAAACCATAGGTAGGAAATCCCCAAGACCAATAATAGAAGTACTACTAACAGCTGAACTGGTTGTTGATCGATGATGACAGGGAAGAGCACCAGCAAATGCTCAGGGTACGGAGTAATGACGGATGTACCCGATACCGTACACCGATGTATAGTTTTCAGTCACGTCACCATTCCAAGTGACAGAGCATTAGCTGCTACTGTACTCTGTACTATTAAACTTTACTAGGTATCTCGGTACGGTACAAATGAAATACAGACGATACACTTGAATAGGACGGTATCAAAGGAGGTACGGAAACAGAGCTCCTTTCCCCAATAAGGTGACCCGTAGTCAACATGAGGGTGAGGTTCATTCTTTGTATAGATGCGTACCAAACGGTCACCACCTGCATGCCTCCTAGATCTCTCTACTATCTAATCGCACCAAGATCAGCACAGACATTCTCACGGACCATACCTTCTACATCCACCCCCCTCGTAAAATGACCAAAGCGGGTTGACGGAACTCAATCTTCCTGAAAAACCACAAAATTGATATGTCATAGTTCTTTGTGTCCTGTTTTGTTTTGTTTATTTTATTTTACCTTTGATTTTTATTATCGTTATTTATTTATTTATTTATTTTTCGCTTTGTTGACAATGAAGATAAGATTGAACTATACAACTTTTAATTTAGGTATAGAATCGAAAGTGAAGACCATGTAACACCAGCCGAGAAGGTGAAAAATATCCTGCATGTTGAGTGTACTTAAGGAGGAAATGACTTTGGGAGAGGGTAAGGTGGTAATCTCTGGCAGAAAGGTAGTTAGTAACTTACTCCGGAGTATAGCAGTCACTTTCTCCGGTTTAGCGCCGTCTTGTGGCCAGAGCCTCAACGACGTAGCGTAGTCACCACCACGACCATTAATACTACTAACCTACGACCATACTATCACCACCGTTTCCCGTTGATTACGAAATCCTCGCCCACTCTTTCTACCTGCAAATCTCCTTACATGTCGCATATTCTCTTCTAATTCCTTCGTCTGTGCTTCGTATCATGCGTTTTTGGGTTGCTCTCCCAGAATGTGCGATGGCGATTCTTGACTACTACCGCTCGTCTCCCAGAGCATGAAGCACCCGCCGCGCCCGACGCTAAAACTCCGTGCAACGACGGTCGCTTTTCCAGTGATATAGTGATAGTCTTTCTCGAATTACGTTCCTCCCTTTGTACTTGAATCAACATTCCTCTGCTTCGCTTCCATTGATATAGCTTTACACTGCGCTGCATAAGCTCACTATCCTCCATACACTTTTCCAGTCGACCGCCTTCTTTCGGATCAACTCGCGCTTTATCGCACGACGTTCTACGATAGTCCGTTTCCTTTACTTCTCGCCATAATCCCTCCCCCCTCCGGTGACAATCATTGATGGTGCTCCTCGTTTGACGCTGCGAATACTGCGCCGACCGGCCACTTCTTTCTCGACGGCACCGGAATATTTGGGGTACTTTGAAACATGTCTTTCCAGGGTGGCGACCTCCCGGAAGGGAGGCGTAGCTCGGAGAGCTCTGGAGGAAACAGCTGGCTGTCTCAGGAGACAGTCAAAGACAACCAAACCAATCGGTACCAGCGAAATCATGCTATGTTGAATGGCCGTCTTATTTCCCCATTCTCTGGGTTCGCGAAAGTGGACAGGTAAGAATGACTTATCTTTTCACTTGTGCCTCATCTTCATGTCATTATCTCTTCTGTCCTTACCCCGCCTTCTCCCTCTCTCTATTCCCCCCTC